GCTTGAATTTTTGCTATCTGATAGTATCTTAGCCAATTTTTACATACTCCTGATAGCTAATATATAAGCCTAATAGTTCGGCAGAAGATCTTCGCGTGACTCCATATAATAAAAGTTCCATTTACTAGCTATACTTAATCTAAAAGCAGTCCACATTGTATTTTTTGGGCTAGAAGAGCCACGTAAGAAGAACAGATGATCTTATAACCTTTTCAAAATATTGTGTTTATGATTAACGATTCTCGGGCTTATTACACAGCATTCGTCAATGGCAGTTCTTCCAATATCATAAATTCCGTCAGGACATTTGATGCTCTAGGGAGTATATTCATACTCCAAGATAACTTTCTCTGAAGGATTACGCCAAAGTATTTTGTGATATCCGAAAGCAATAAGAGATCATCATTTAGACGAGGAATAGCAAACTGAGTAATCTTGTACAGAGGAAAGCTTGGCGTTTCACCTTTCTCTCAATATACTTTACACTCGTCGCATAAACCTATGTGTTTACTAAAAATCATCTCACTAACCTTGAACTTATCCGTTTTTAAAAGGATTCTCATTCTGCTTTCGATGGGGTTACCTAGCGTTGAGTTTCTGTTCCCGGTGTGCGAACCGGAAGGTCTAGTATTTGTCAATAACTGCACAATATGTCCAGTATACATTGATGGCGTGTCCTGTAATCGGCTTTGATCAATTCCCCTACTGATAAGATCCGACTGACTGGCTGTAAATGATTCGCTAAACTTTTTGTCCATAGAAGTCCACATTAGATAGAATACGCTTGTTCAAAGCCAGTTTGTCGTAATTTGACTGAAACCCCATTTATATAAAATTTTCGGATTTAGCGATGTCCGTCTATCCAACTACTCAACCCACTTTTTTATTTAAGTTTGTTTTCAAATGTCTGTCTGTCTTTCGGTCTGTCCGTCTGTTGAAATAAATTTTCTGAAGACCACAGATATCTTCGGGATCCAAATCTTTAATAATTGTGATAGACATCCTTTCGAGAAGTTTCCTATTTCTATGGTGTTTTGTTTCGATTGACGTAAATTGTTGTTATTTTAAACACAATATGGTGAAGGGTATGAATATCGAAGTAGTCAGTCCTCCGTGGGGCATCTGCTTTTAAATATCGACTGCCGGTTCCAAATCAAATATATGGGTCGATAAGATGAGGTTTGGGAATAAATTCTATTCTTTTTCCCTGCCATCTATACAGAGTATATTCAAACTTCAAGTATGCATGTATATCATTGACAGATGAGTTGAAATCAATTCCGACTTCACTTGCAAGTGTTCTGCAGCTTTATATCTTATGCATGGTTTATCGTGGACAGATTTTCCCTCTAGTAGAGAACAGCTATCATCAAACGTTTCAATGAAAGCAGTTGTCAGCGCTTCAACAGTTACTCAAGCAGCATTTTATGTGAGTCGATCTAATGAAAGACTTTAATCATAAGAAGACAAAATTATAAATTGCTTAATTTAAAAAAAATAATGCACATTTTTCTTTTATGTTGTTAAAAATATTTCTTGTATACACTCACAAAACATTGAGTGTCTTCTGTAAAATTAATATTTTTACTAACAATATTTATGAGCATTTAAATTAATTATACTTGACCTGAAGGTCTTGAAATATAATGAAATTACTTTACCGTTTATTGTAAAAAAAAAACAAACCACAATCTTAGAAACATTTTTAAGAAATTAAATAATAAATTATATAATTATTCAAATATAACAACACCCTTAACTAAGGACCTTAGACATAATTGATATAAAATAGCCTGATGATTACTTCTTCAAACCACCTTTCCCGCACTAATAAGAACAAATAATACATACAACATATACACGCAAGTTGGACTAAAGGACTAAATACGAAGTGCAGACATTTAATATTATTAATGCTTGTTATTAATTTTTGATATTTTAATTGGGAATTATTACTTAATTTGTCAAAAATTAGAGAACGATATAAAAAAAACGAACTTAATAAGAAGACATTACTGGAGCCCTGTATGGAAGACACTTTGTTAATTGTGAGAGTCATTAAATTTTTAAATAATTAAAATCATTTTTCAGCACTTTGCATGGAATAATGAAAAAAATACAGCTATTTAAAGGCAAGTAAAGCTGAACAGAAGAAGGCAGTGGGCAAAGTAAGAGTAAATTTCAATTTATGGGTATATATTATGAAATGAAATTGTCCACCAGTTACACCTAAAAATGTAAACCTAACTCAGTCTGATCATTTCACATAACTTGCCCTTGATTATATAGACATCTTACTTGACGTTACCATATACAAGCTGAGATGCTCCATGTGGCCTCCGGTAGGTTGGTGGTTAGTGTTGTAGTCTGGTAGACTGGAGGTGGTGGGTTCGATTCCCACCTGAGGCACCTGTTAAGGAGCGCACAACAGGCCTAGGTGTATTTCTTCGGATTTGATGTATATACATCTTCCCTTCAAACTAACTAACTAGTTAGATAGTTAGTTAGTTAGTTAGTTAGTTAGTTAGTTAGTTAGTTAGTTAGTTAGTTAGTTAGTTACTTAGTTAGTTAGTTAGTTAGTTAGTTAGTTAGTTAGTAGTTAGTTAGTTAGTTAGTTAGTTAGTTAGTTAGTTAGTTAGTTAGTTAGTTAGTTAGTTAGTTTGTTAGTTTGTTAGTTTGTTAGTTAGTTAGTTAGTTAGTTAGTTAGTAGTTAGTTAGTTAGTTAGTTAGTTAGTTAGTTAGTTAGTTAGTTAGTTAGTTAGTTAGTTAGTTAGTTAGTTAGTTAGTTAGTTAGTTAGTTAGTTAGTTAGTTAGTTAGTTAGTTAGTTAGTTAGTTAGTTAGTTAGTTAGTAGTTAGTTAGTTAGTTAGTTAGTTAGTTAGTTAGTTAGTTAGTTAGTTAGTTAGTTAGTTAGTTAGTTAGTAGTTAGTTAGTTAGTTAGTTAGTTAGTTAGTTAGTTAGTTAGTAGTTAGTTAGTTAGTTAGTTAGTTAGTTAGTTAGTTAGTTAGTTAGTTAGTTAGTTAGTTAGTAGTTAGTTAGTTAGTTAGTTAGTAGTTAGTTAGTTAGTAGTTAGTTAGTTAGTTAGTTAGTTAGTTAGTTAGTTAGTTAGTTAGTTAGTAGTTAGTTAGTTAGTTAGTTAGTTAGTTAGTTAGTAGTTAGTTAGTTAGTTAGTTAGTTAGTTAGTTAGTTAGTAGTTAGTTAGTTAGTTAGTTAGTTAGTTAGTTAGTTAGTTAGTTAGTTAGTTAGTTAGTTAGTTAGTTAGTTAGTTAGTTAGTTAGTTAGTTAGTTAGTTAGTTAGTTAGTTAGTTAGTTAGTTAGTTAGTTAGTTAGTTAGTTAGTTAGTTAGTTAGTTAGTTAGTTAGTTAGTTAGTTAGTTAGTAGTTAGTTAGTTAGTTAGTTAGTTAGTTAGTTAGTTAGTTAGTTAGTTAGTTAGTTAGTTAGTTAGTTAGTTAGTTAGTTAGTTAGTTAGTTAGTTAGTTAGTTAGTTAGTTAGTTAGTTAGTTAGTTAGTTAGTTAGTTAGTTAGTTAGTTAGTTAGTTAGTTAGTTAGTTAGTTAGTTAGTTAGTAGTTAGTTAGTTAGTTAGTTAGTTAGTTAGTTAGTTAGTTAGGTAGTTAGTTAGTTAGTTAGTTAGTTAGTTAGTTAGTTAGTTAGTTAGTTAGTTAGTTAGTTAGTTAGTTAGTTAGTTAGTTAGTTAGTTAGTTAGTTAGTTAGTTAGTTAGTTAGTTAGTTAGTTAGTAGTTAGTTAGTTAGTTAGTTAGTTAGTTAGTTAGTTAGTTAGTTAGTTAGTTAGTTAGTTAGTTAGTTAGTTAGTTAGTTAGTAGTTAGTTAGTAGTTAGTTAGTTAGTTAGTTAGTTAGTTAGTTAGTTAGTTAGTTAGTTAGTTAGTTAGTTAGTTAGTTAGTTAGTTAGTTAGTTAGTTAGTTAGTTAGTTAGTTAGTTAGTTAGTTAGTTAGTTAGTTAGTTAGTTAGTTAGTTAGTTAGTAGTTAGTTAGTTAGTTAGTTAGTTAGTTAGTTAGTTAGTTAGTTAGTTAGTTAGTTAGTTAGTTAGTTAGTTAGTTAGTTAGTTAGTTAGTTAGTTAGTTAGTTAGTTAGTTAGTTAGTAGTTAGTTAGTTAGTTAGTAGTTAGTTAGTTAGTTAGTTAGTTAGTTAGTTAGTTAGTTAGTTAGTAGTTAGTTAGTTAGTAGTTAGTTAGTTAGTTAGTTAGTTAGTTAGTTAGTTAGTTAGTAGTTAGTTAGTTAGTTAGTTAGTTAGTTAGTTAGTTAGTTAGTTAGTTAGTATACGATACATAAATCAACCGATCTTCTCTGTCTAATTAACCAACTATTAACCAATATAAACTAAACTTTGACTTTTAAAGTAACCCGTATAAGACTATAATAAAATCAATTTTGACTTACTGAATTATGGGGAACAGTTAGTAATACCAGCTAGGACCGGCTTTTTAAAAATAAAATTTAAGTAAAATTTGCAACATTCCAGTTCTTACTTTATGCCCACCGTATCATCACAATAGAATTAAATGCCATGGAAAGGGAATGACAATAGATGAAGCACAAAATGTTGAATACTTTTTTTCGTTAAGTACACAACGACTCAATGAAACTGTATAGAAAGGACGCTTCAAAGATTTCATATAAAAATGAGTTTTTGTTTGTTGTCATACCAGTCAAGTAAGGAGTCATTGAAAGGTATACGGTTAATGATGTAACGTCTATAGAAAATTAAAAAACCTGCTATAGGGTATATCGAATACAAATTGTAAAGCATATAAAAGCACTTTCAAAGGATATCCTACCTATCAATAGTTTTCTAACCGCCAAGTCATCCGTAAGAGACAGCATACGTTCAAACAATAATAACGGTACACGTTAATATTTTGCAGGAACAAGGCTGCAAGTTACTAAAGCAACAGCTACAACACCAACCAGGCAGGCAGGCAAAACAACCATCCGACTTCAACGTCAAATTTCAATAGACAATATTAAAAAAAATAAACAACAAATGACCATAAGGAAAGTCAATACAGCAGCACATAATGCTGAGCCCAACAGTTGTGGATTCTTTAAGCTTCACTGGCTTTGCTGGAAGATATTGGGCATTACACTGGATATTGATAAGCACCATAGGCATAGACATATCTACTTGTTCTATAGCATCGTATTAAATATAGTGGTAACCATTTGTTATCCATTACATTTGGCATTGCTACTCTTTCGCAGCGAATTAATGGCTGATAATATTAAAAATTTTGCTATTTGTGTAACTTGTGTGGCCTGCAGTATAAAATTCTCAATTTATTCCACTAAACTACCGGTAATACGACAGTTCGAGCAAATACTTAAACGTTTAGATGAACGCATCAAAACTGAAGCAGAAATGAATAATTTTCGACAACTGCGAAATCGTTTACGCAATGTTGGTCTCGTTTTTCTGAGCGTATATTTGCCGGTGGGCATAACGGCGGAATTGTCGGTTATGTTTCGTGAGGGCAGAAGTTTATTGTATCCGGCTTGGTTTCCATTCAACTGGATGGAATCGACGGTTTTGTTTTTTGTGGCAAATATTTATCAAGTTGTTGGTATATTCATTCTGCTGCTAGAAAATTATCTTGATGACACTTTTCCACCGATGGCTCTGTGTATGCTATCGGGTCATATTGAAATACTATCGGTAAGAGTTTCCAATATCGGATACGATAAGAAGTCATTGAAGGAGAATGAAGAAGAATTGGATCGATGTGTAGAGGATCAGCAGACTCTGTATGAGTAAGTTTTGATAAGGTGCCTCAGGAAGGTTAATAAGTAATGGTGTAGACCCTGGCCCGGATATCGAAGACTTAAAGATGGCTTAGGTAACAAACAAACTAACTAACTAAACGAACTAACGAACTAACTAACTAAACGAACTAACGAAACTAACTAACTAAACGAACGAACGAACGAAACGAACGAACGAACGAACGAACGAACAACGAACGAACGAACGAACGAAACGAACGAACGAACGAACGAACGAACGAAACGAACGAACGAACGAAACGAACGAACGAACGAAAGAACGAACGAACGAACGAACGAACGAACGAACGAACGAACGAACGAAACGAACGAACGAACGAACGAACAACGAACGAACGAAGAACGAAACGAACGAACGAACGAACGAACGAACGAAGAACGAACGAACGAACGAACGAACGAACGAACGACGAACGAACGAACGAACGAACGAAGAACGAAACGAACGAACGAACGAACGAACGAACGAACGAAACGAACGAAACGAAGAACAACGAACGAACGAACGAACGAGAACGAACGAACGAACGAAACGAACGAAGAACGAACGAACGAACGAACGAACGAACGAAACGAAACGAACGAACGAACGAAAACGAACGAACGAACGAACGAACGAACGAACGAACGAAGAACGACGAACGAACGAACGAACGAACGAACGAAACGAACGAACGAACGAACGAAACGAACGAACGAACGAACGAACGAACGAACGAACGAACGAACGAACGAACGAACGAACGAACGAAACGAACGAACGAACGAACGAACGAACACGAACGAACGAAAACGAACGAACGAAACGAACGAACGAACGAAGAAACGAACGAACGAACGAACGAAGAACGAACGAACGAACGAACGAACGAACGAACGAACGAACGAACGAACGAACGAACGAAACGAACGAACGAACGAACGAACGAAAACGAACGAACGAACGAACGAACGAACGAACGAACGAACGAACGAACGAACGAACGAACGAACGAACGAACGAACGAACGAACGAACGAACGAACGAACGAAACGAACGAACGAACGAAAGAACGAACGAACGAAACGAACGAACGAAACGAACGAACGAACGAACGAACGAACGAACGAACGAACGAACGAAACGAACGAACTGAACGAACGAACGAACGAACGACGGAACGAAACGAACGCAACGAAACGAACGAATCGGAACATAACGAACGAACGAACTAAGAACGAACGAACGAACGAACGAACGAACGAACGAACTACGAACGAACGAACGAACGAACGAACGAACTGAAACGAACGACAACGAACGAACTGAACGAACTAACTAACTAACGTACTAACGAACGGAACTAACTAACTACGAAACTAACGAACTTAACTAACTAACTAACTAACTAAACTAACGACCTAACTAACTAAACTAAATAACTAACTATCTAACTAACTAAGATACTAGCCAATAAACTCTACTTATCAATAGCCTGCTCAGAATAGTCAAGATATTAATCAAGAGGACTAGTCTTAGGTAAGTCAATAGACTATTTAACATGCTTGTTCATGGACTAAATCATAGATCAGTTAACTGCTCTATGGAGTTATCCACATAGTTAATAGTATATTAAATAGGTCATGGGCTAGTTAATAGGGTATAACACTATTCAAGGCTATTCAATAGTCTAGTCCTTAGACTACTCCATAGACTAGTTAGTTCATAGTCCAATCCAAAGACCAAAGTCCCTAAACTAGACTAGTCAATGTTTTAATTACTTTATAGAATAGCCCAAAACTAGTCGCTTGACCAGACCATAGACTTGTCAATATTTCGACAACAGACTTGTCAACAAACTATTCCATAAACTAATCAACCGACTAAATAGCAACCCAATATTACTTTATACAACTATTACCTTTATTTACAGACTTTACACCACCATCGAAAACATCATCTCGTGGCCAATGTTTATACAATTCTGTGTCACTGCCACTAATATTTGTGTTGCCATGGCAGCACTATTCTTCTATGTTTCGACACCACTAGATATTTTATATTATTTTGTGTATTTCCTGGCCATGCCTCTGCAAATATTTCCAACATGTTATTATGGCAGTGATTTTCAATATTTATTCGATCAATTGCATAGAGCAATATTTGCCAGTAATTGGACGGATCAAACAAAAAAATACAAGAAACATATGTTATTGTTTACGGAGAGATCTTTGAAGCAGAATGCGGCAATGGCTGGTGGTATGGTGCGCATACATTTGGATACGTTTTTTTCAACATGTCGTGGAGCCTATTCTCTGTTTGCCATTATAATGAGAATGAAGTGAAAGTTTTGGTTTATGTTCATTTATTAAGATTTATTTAAGCGAATTAAATTTAACTTTGATGTTATGTTTTAAATGAAAATTATAAATTATATATTCTTGTAACTTGATTTTGAGAAAAGTTATTAATAATGGGCTACACATAGAGGTCCTTATTAATATTAAAATTTAAAAATTTTCAAAAAAATTTTAATCTTAAATATATGTATGTATACTACTTTGTACGAATGCAATATCATGGTGTCGTATACGTAATATTAAATCGAAACTTGTTAAATATTACTTACACGTAACAGAAAATACAGAAAAATCTATAAAATTATTTCCAGTATTATGAAACAAGACTTTAAACATGAATTTTATTTAAATTACACAAAAAAACATTTTTACACATGTGCAAACACTTGTAATAAGATAAAATACGCATTTCTATGAGTAGAAAACGTACTAGTAATAGACAGTCTTTATTCAAAATAAAAATTAAATAACGCAGAGATTTCTTGTGATAAGAAAAAAAAGACGAAAAATTAACATCATCAACATGTAGACTGTGTAGTGATTTAATTTTTTATCATTAAGCACATTCAGACAGAAACAAGTAGCTAGAGATACGAGGGTTATTTTTGCATTTAAAACTTAAACCATGAAGCATAGCATAGCTTCTTATTTTCATCTCTATACAAGAACTATTTACAACCATATGGCTCTAACTAATTTCAAACAATTTTGCTCTACCCTCGTATAAATGCGCTCGTATACATAAAATGTCAACACAATCTCGAACAATGACAACAAATGGTTGCAAACGTAAAAGCAATCCTCTTGAACGGATTGCTATAGTCGAGAGTTAGAATGAAATTTGTGTTTGGATTTTGTAACATAATATTATCACACTTTAAGTATTTGCAAACACAAACACACACACACACACGTAAAGAATATCATATCAAAACAATAATAACAAATAAAAAATTATAAGTGGATAATAGAGAACATATTGTGCCCTACAGAAGGGATCGTCACAGAATTTTGTAATGACTTCTGGGTATAAAAAAATGAACTATATATTTGTACAAAACGAGTATAGAAACTAAATTTTGTTAAGTTCAATTCCAAACTGCAATTAAGTCAAGTTTAGATCGTCACACAAATGGAAGGATATCAACTAAAACATATAATGCTATTGTTTTACTACATGATGCGTAGGACCACTATTTCTGTGTGTTGCAAACATCCAAACAAACTCGCCATACATACCACACAAAGAAGGTGTAGGGTATTAAAATATATGACAGAAGAAACATTAACACGTACAATCATAAAAGTTCATTACAAAAGATTTTTGACATTTGCAAATATAAAAGAAGTTAGCCTAGACAATGGCGGTATATTTCATATACATATTTATCTAGATATATATGAATAAGAGGTTTTGCACTTGTTATTCAAATCCAAAAGATCGTTACTGCTTTGTTAGTCGAGTGATATTTTTAATATTATAGATCGTTATAATGAAACACAAAAAAAAAAGCATACCCGGAAAACGAAATATACTACCGGCTCTCTAATTACAACAATTGCTTTCAGGCGCACTATCACGCAATGTGTTGAAGGGATTGGATTAAATATGGCGAGATCAGCTGATAAGGTTAAATCTAAAATTGTATTGGACTGGAAGACAGCAATAACCGAATACTCTTCCCGTGATAAACTCTGCATTATGTGGGCACCTGGCCTCTCGCGGTAATAGTCATTGTAAGAGCAAATGAACTTGCTTTAAAGGGTAGCGAACTCGGGGAAGTTAACCTGACGAGGGCCGAATTTAAAAGATATGTGAGTGAAATAATGAAATGAATATGCAAAATTGGACGAACGGATTCAGACGTATATAGAGCCTGTGGAGAGTACATTGAAACGCTGGACTGCTTTATCTGTTATTTAAATGTCATCGAAACTAGATCCACATATCTTGGAGACATTGTTATTTCAAATACTACAGCCCTCATGATAATTGATTGGAAAATTCGAAGAAAAAGCATCCAGAACACTGAGTTGTTGACAATTGGACGATGATATAGATCGCTTTATAAGATTTTTTTTCACCAACTCAAAATGAGAGCTCAACAGGTCCGATTGCGACCTGATTAATTGTATATACTCATTTCAAACTAACCCAACTTCAAGATAGTAATCACTTTTTTTTAAATTTTGTAGTGTTAAGCCCCTAATTGATTTAAATCCTTGTTAAATCAGGATAGATATCATTCCGATCTGGAAGCTACTTCCTTTGTCTATCCTTCTCTTAATTCAGAATGACCACAATCTTTCTAGAGTTTCCTACTGTTTAGGACACTCTTAGTTGAAAATCCGGATTACTGTCCGTAGGAGCTTTATAAATACAGCCGGTTTTCAAGAATTATATCTCTGGTTATAGGACTTCCTGGTATTTCGCCCAAAGAAACCACTTCTAATCTAATGCAACAGATGTTTCATGAGTCTGATTGCCTGCTTTAGAAGCACAACACATCATTCGTTGGCACACAACATCAGTTTCACCTGGTTGTGGAATCAACCGAGGTCTTCGCACAGACCGGGGTTATGTGTAGTGTGGCGTGGAATTCGTCCGATTGCTCACTAATAATCTTAATTGTATTAATATGGTTGATGAGCACGGAAGCCAGCCTGTGTTTTACTAAGTTGGATATATTGCCCTTAATTGTTATATTGCCTTCTATCGACTTAGTATAACTAATTGCTTTCATTAACGTTCCCATGCATGTCTAAATATGACCTCCAGTAGACAAGATGTCGAAGTGCTTTACGTGAACACCTGTTGCGTTGACAGGAGTGGTCTTTTTCATCTACTGGGTGAGCTTCTTTGACGACTCATCACCGCCATTTTGTGTATCTTACACGCAGGTGTCAAGTTTTGTACATAGCTCTTCGGGTCCATGTACAAGCACTTTGTTCAGCCCAAGCTCAATCAAACCCCGACAAGGTGGAGACAATTATTAGTTTAGAGTCAATAGACAACGTAACATCAAACATGATTGATGTTATGACGAATACTCATATCCCTAGAGCATTCTCATCATCCTAAGGGTCACCCAATGCTTTATTTGAGCTCTTAAGTCGCCAAACCACACTACTGAGGTGGCTCTGTAGTTTCGACAACAGCACCTAGGGATGTAATTGGTAGTTCGAAACACAGATCAATATTCAATAATGCTATGAAGAATGCTACATCCCTAAAACATTTTCATTATCTAAAGACTCACTCCAGTGCATTTCTTAACCTCTTGAAGCCGGGCAACCGCACTACTGATATGGTTCAGTAGGTACGTAATTAGTGGATCCAAGTACGGATCCACACTCAACCATCAAGGAAAATCACAGCACCTAGGGATGTAATTGGTAGTTCGAAACACAGATCAATATTCAATAATGCTATGAAGAATGCTACATCTCTAAAACATTTTCATTATCTAAAGACTCACTCCAGTGCATTTCTTAACCTCTTGAAGCCGGGCAACCGCACTACTGATATGGTTCAGTAGGTACGTAATTAGTGGATCCAAGTACGGATCCACACTCAACCATCAAGGAAAATCACAGATATATTAATGATTAAGGTATACTAGCTCAACCCATCATCTCACAGCCATCTCAAGTATTACACCGCAATTACAACACAGAATCATTCATCAGATGTTACATCATCTAATACCCAATCCTTGCATTAACAGCTCAAATCCAACATTTTTTTAATCCACAACCCTGTGGTTTGTACCGCTTATGGAAACTAGGAGCGGTAACAGAAACTTTTCCAAAAAATTTATATTTCACTGTTTATCAATCTTTTAACTAAGCACCTCTTTCCGCAAATTTTTGGGTTTAAATCACAACCACTACGTATATCCCTGCAAGAAAAACCAATGTATTTTTATGGACCCCCACAAGAATATATATTCAGAGTTCCTTAAAAAATTCGAAGTCTCCCTAGTTATGTTCATCTGTCTGTTGAAATCACTATGAAAATTCCTTAAAATCTTCGCTTAATATATCACTAAGTTGTTCCTTAAAGAAATAACACAACTACTTACCGATTTCTTTCACGTCTGAAGTTAAATGTACCAATTGTTAAATTATCTAAAAAAATAAAATAAAACAACCAAAGAACCCCTTTTTTAATAATTTCCCATATTGAGAAAAATGTGTACGTTAGCGGAATAAATTGATTTGAAATAAGAATTTAATTTTTTAGTAAATTTTTTGTTTGTAATCAAAGGTACGTTTTCATAAATCATGTTTCATATACACACATACAACGTTTAAAGATGCTGTTGCTGTATGATGGAAAAAATTAACATTGCAGCTATCGAATGTTAATAAAACAAAAATTCCGTTTCCTGGCATAAAACCGATAAAGCCACAACACGCACACAAACAAACAGACATATATATGGCGAGCAACAGCGGAAATACGGAAAAAAGCATACTTATCTTGGAAAAACCCCCCAAAAAATAGTTTAGAACGATACAATTTGGATAGGAAAAGCAAAATACCAAAATGTAATTACCCAATAAACATAAAATCTGAAATTATGAAAATCTTGACTTTGATATCTATAAGAAAGTTTTATAAAGAAACTATATTTAACAGTTAAAAGTTCATTTAAAAAATAAGCGGACAGGTGTCTGTTACTTTTATTGAAAATCGGCCCCTATAGGGAATAAACGGCTAAAAACTATATTTCGGTACTTTTTTTGCATCCCATGTATTTTTTAAACGAGTGAACATTCAAAAATTATTTTTGGGCTCCTTCATAACTTAACGAAAAAATAAAACTATGAATTCAGTATTTTTAGGATATTCGGACGTTTAAGGGTTGAAAATTATACCTATTTTTGGTACTTTTTTCATAAAACATTGTTTCCTATGTATTGATTTGTAAATATGAATGAATACTTAATGATGGGCTCCCACTACGATATTGCAACTT